ATTTATAAGTAAAAATAATTATTTTTGTAGAATATTCCCACTGCTACTGATTAATTAATAAAAAAATAATGACAAAAATACTTGGCGGCACCAGTAAATATGATTCATTTGAATTTATCATCAACATCTACAAGTAATAGCAATTAAGCAATAATAAAATTAAGAAAAAGTTATTTACAAAGCCATTCCAGAATGTTTTAAACTCACCGCCAAAACTATGTCTATTCGTACGATCACTACGTAGATTATGTATTGAATCAAAGCAACTGAACGCAACTGAATTTCGTACCATAACCTACAATTTTTATGCAATTTTGTAAGTCGGTTAATGTTGTCAAAGTGCTTGCTTATTACCGTATTAATTTTTTATTCTACGTATTTATTCATATAATTTATACCTAAATACATTTTAAAGCAATGTCAGATGCTGAAGACGATTTTATGTGTGACGACGATGAAGAGGATTATGGTTTGGTAAGCGTTACCGCTATGTTAACCTTATTTGTACGAATAAAAATATAATCTCTTAACGCCTTTTTAATAGGAATATTCTGAAGATAGTAATTCAGAACCGGATGTAGATTTAGAGAACCAATACTACAACAGCAAAGCTCTTAAGGAAGATGCCCCAAGGCTTGCACTAGCATCTTTCCAAAGAGTATTAGATTTAGAAAGCGGTGAAAAAGGTGAATGGGGTTTTAAAGCCTTGAAGCAAATGATCAAAATAAATTTTAAGCTGGTTAGTGTTAGCAGTCTTGTAATATTTAAGCAATAAACTATGTTTGATTTTCAGGGAAACTTTAATGAAATGATGGTTCGTTACAAGCAACTGCTAACATACATTTAAGGGCTCTAATTTGTCGCTGAAAGACAGTACTTTTATTCATTTTGTTGCTGGTCTATCTCGAGCTATAATTTATCGATCTTTGTTACCAAAATCAAAATTTGTTGATTCTGGTTGTTACTGGAAGGCAGACAAAGTACTAGACTGATAGCAACCAGACACTACACAAACCGTCGATTAAAAGTAGCATCAAATTATCGCCGTTATAGTATTTTCTGATATCATTTCTTCTATTTTCTGGTTACTGACTGGAACGACAAATTTTCGGATTCGGTAACAAATTAACGAGAAATTATAATGCACTTTAGAAATAAAATATATAACTTTGTCGTGCTAGCCCGAAATACGTAAGAAAAGCTCACGGTTGGCCAGCTTTTTTTTTTTTTTTAATACAATATTACGCAGGTAGTATTTATGGACCTGGAGTGTTTTCATTTTACCTTGGTTTCGTGTTAGACAAAAAGAGCTGGTGGTATATTCGAAACAAAAGGATGATATGAATAGAGGTGGTGTAGGGACAGTTAGGAGAAATTTTCACGCAGACAGAGAATAGCAAAGAATTCAGATGTAGAAATGTTAGCACTCATTAATTCACTCCACCCAAACCACTGTAAACCTTTCCCGTATAACTACTTGGCCTGCCAGTAACACTGCTACGCTGTCGTGATTTACTAAGCTTTCTTCCAAAGAAAACAGTAAGGAGAATTCTCAAGATAACCGTTTAAAACGTTTACGCTCTCCAAGGGCACAATTCTGGCTTACGTACTCTCCTGCCGCTTGCACTGTAAATACGAAAAGTTTGGGCGGCTAATTTAAAAAAACAACTCGTCTGATAGACTTACAGATATTCCCTACTTCAACATCAGGTAAAGTAATGGGTAAACTTTAAAAATTCTCTGATTTACAAACAACTTAATTAAAAATCATCTAACGTTTTACCCAGTTCTCATCTCACATTCCCTGATCAAATACACAAAAGGAGCTTTAGGAACTTTACACGGAAATCCCTAAGAGGGCCTTTTAGGCCCTGAAGAATTCAAAGCAGTTATTGAACTATGTGTCGCGGTTTGATATAATAAAGTTTCAGGTTAACTACTGCTTTTTTTAATAACATTCAACCTCTCGCAACAATTTTGACACCTGGATATTGCGAAGTAACTTCAAAGTCCCGAACATTAATGCATTAATACCTACACCTACCGTTTACAACGACATCGGATATTTCGAAGAAACTAATACAGCAGCGACAAATGTGGTGAAACTTGCGTCAAAGTAACTTTTATTACGATGGACTCTCCAAGCGTAGTAAGAAAATATCGGGGAAGTTTGTCAGCAAGTTAGGGGAACTATCGAAATAGGAAAAGAAGGCGCGACATTATTGACCTATGAGTGTATGATTTCAAACAATTGTTGACGTCTAATGGAATTTAAAAGAAACCTAAACAAACTTTGCTTTGTTATATTAGAAAAGTTCGAAAGTTCGTCAGTGATCTGTCGAAACCTCAGACACAGATCGCGATTTCGGTTTCTTTCGATCTCTTCAGCACACCGTAGATAGTTCCGAAAAACCAATTTATTTGCTGCCTTTAAACAGCGTTTAGCTAATTTGGAAACATTATTGCCAGAGTGGGTTTAAAAACCCAGAAATTGCAAAAGCAAACCAAAACGACAAATTTTTCTCTTTTAAAATATTACTGATCTTATTTCTAAAAAAGTGTAACACACCTACTACCTCAACTAGTTGGACACGCGCCTTTACCCTTTTTAATTACTGTTGCTGCTTCCAATATGTCTCTCACTAGCCTAAGACCAACCTGTCTCACCTATTTTTTATTGACTTCCATAGCGGACTACTAATACCAACCAATTTATTATACCTATATATTCCGTTTTAGAATGATGTTTTCGTTGCTTCTGCTATTTTAGCTAATTTACCTCTAAACAAAATGTTTGCTCCAATCGTTATTAAAAGTACACAGTTTTGAGTCCACCCTTCAACATCGTTATAAGCGAGATCCTACAGGGCAAGCAAGTCTACAAGATTTTAATTTAATTGCTGTATTCAGTTCAGAAACATTGTTTAGCTAACAGTTTATCTCAAATCTTAAAAAAAAAAACCAATTAAGAATAAGTGATTAAAACATCTTTCCAGAAGGAGCACGATCACAATTAACGACGTTCATAATAGAAGAACAGCATGATGTTGCAAGCAAATTTCGATAAACATCGTCAGTGAATTCGAGTTCACAAATTCCATTTTAATTTACAGCAGCGGAGTGCTACTACAGGCGACAATAAACCAAAAAATCTACCGTCTGCTCTTAATATGAAATTAAATTGATACTAGTCTATTATAGACTTGCTGGATACACCGGAATGAAGCGCAACTCTACTACCCTTCCAGGCCAGGCTCTAGGCGCGTGCATAGTATGAACCCCGCGGTCGAATTTGAAACTTGTGTTCTTTCTCGTTGCATTATAAATATATTAATTGAAGTCTCTTTTTTGCCTATTTAAAAACGATTTATTCTGTAAGTTTTTAAATTGGCGACAAGGGAATGAAAACAAATAAATTTTAATTGAACGAAAGACCTAATTTTGATTAACACACTTCGGAGCTTTTCGGTATTAATTTGAGATTAAAGACGTAAATAAAGGAAGCTATTGTAATTCTGGCATCACCATTTCCGAAAATTAAAAAGCAAATCCCGAATACAAGTTTCGATTAACGAGAAAATGGAATCGATAATAGGAAAATTAACATTTCTTCTCTCTACTTCGAACGTTTGAACCATCAGCAAGTTAAATATTGACAGTAGTAGGGCCAGTAATAAAGGGATGAAGAAATTAATGAAAGAACCGCAAAACAAGAAGATCGTCGAATTTCTAAAATATCGCCGACTATGAATGTAACGCAGAAATAAATTGAAAATTACATAAACAAGATACGTTAGGAAACAATTTTCACAGTAATAAAGCAACAGGTTTTCTTCTTGTTCTTTTTTTATAAAGTAAACATTTTAAATGGCTTATTTAATACGATTGTCTAGACTCTAGAGTCTAGACTAAAACTAATTACCCGCATATAACGAACACGGTGTCGTGGATGATCGTTATAACCGAGAGATTTTTAATTAACTTGATTTCACCCTGTGTTCGCTTTGCTAACCATTTTAACACATAATGAAGTTCATACAATAGCAAAAAGGGAATCTAATAGTTAATTAGTCGCCTGTCTCTATCAAAAGCTTGCAAATGTGCTTTTAATGAATCCCGGATTCCACAAATAAATCTAATTAACAAAACTTGCCCATCCATAGCCCTAATCAATCTTGATATGAGACTTAAACAACTCTATGTACGTATGTATATACACATAGACACATGTACACGGAACAATTCGTGCAAAAAATCAAAATGTCGTTATAATATATTAAAGTTCCAGCACAAGCTCGGTACAAGAAGAACCCATTACTCGCGAGTCATCATTCAAAAATAACACGAACCCAGCTATAGCCTTTGACGTGGAAAGAATGACTTGAGAGGGTTAATAATTAATGAAAATTCGCTTATTTTCAATTCTTACAATTCCGCTCGCCGATTTTGTTTTAAATAGACACATCTTTTATATAAGAGAATGCAATTCCCCTGCCTAATCCAGGATATAATTTTCTATACATCTCATTTCCTCGCGTCACCTAATTCATAAACTTAAATTCAGTAAGTACTTATTATCAAACAACAACCAAACGAAATATTTGCAAAGAATTTATCCTTTATATTTAATAAGTACTTAGTTTTAATAAGGATTTTATCAGTATTAGTATAACATAATATTAAGGGCGAATTATTTAAAAACGTTTTTTTGTACTTGATGAATACTAATAAACTAATATATTGTTAAAACTGTCATTAAGTTGTTTTTTCGGCAACTGTATCAAAAATTTTGTTTTATAAATGTTTTATAACTTTCTAATGAAAATAAATGTTTTGTAAAGTTTAAAGGGTGTTATACGTTGATGCAATAAATAAATAAATAAGAGAAAAAAACATCCTACCTTGCACAGTAGGCTGCTGATAAGTTGGAATCTTCCCCCACCATCTGAAAAAAAAACTGTTAATTAACAAGATATAATTACTTCAGCAGTAAATGGCTATACAAATGTACATATATGTCGATAATAAATATCTGCAATTAATAAAACTCACCGCGAAATGACAATAAAAAACCACTACCAAAAAAATTAGACTAGCGGTGACGCTAATCAATCGTTAATGTAAAATATTCTATCAATAATAAGTACCTATTGTCCATATAATTATCCGCATTAATTAACCGATTAATCCACGATGAATCAATGAAAGGAACACGAACAATTGTCTTTTAATAACGATTCGGTAAGTAAAGATTATCGATCAACACTTCTTACACAATAAAATGGCCGGCTGAGCTTGCAATTTCCCGACTTTCCAAAGCTAACCGCGTTCCCCCCACGCTTTTATTATGGCGAATAGAAATGCATCTACTAATAAATATAATAATCACCATAGGCGTATCATAAAAATTTGAATACATACTTTTGAAATAATTACGATCAAAAAAAATAATATTTTGAATATTTTACATCTCATATAACTAATAAATACGTTGTTAATTAAATTTTAACATCTAAAATTGAGCTAATAAAGCTACAGTTACCTATATTTTATACAAATATAAATTACAACAACATTTTTAATTTCATTAAATGAAAAGCTGAACAGTTGGGTAGTTTTAAATACTTTCTCATTACTGATACTCAAGATGTTTTTTATCGTGTGGAGTGAAGGTACGTCAAGGGTGCTTACTTAGGATTTAATTGATCCTTGCGGTCATTATTTCCATTTAATTTATATTTTCTTTCAAACAATATTTCTCTGTAGGCAGCTAAAGACCCTAGACACGTAGAGGTAACATATTAGCGATGTTTATGTGAATTTCAAATCGTATTTTAGACGACGATCAATAAAATACTGGTGATTGCAGTATATCTCAATACCGATTATGCTCGGTCGATTTCATGGCAACGATCGTAAATAAAAAAGCAGAAAACTGCCTTCACGTGAGGGACTGTGCCTTTCGACAGTGGTATTTTCGTCCAACTACAATATAATTTTAAAATTCACTCCAGAAAATTGTTCCTTGGCCCCCCAACGTCAAGAAAGAATTACCATTACCATTCTTTTAAAGATATTATTTAGAAATTATCTGAGCATGTCCATTATTAATGGTGTACAGCATTTATATAGTAATTATGACGACATTTTCAGTAATTTTATAATCGATATATACTTTAAACGTCGAACATTATAAATTTAATGACTACAATAAATAATTAAAATGTAAGATTATCCAGAGTGTGGTACTTCTTTGTAATTGTCTAATTCCACCTCGAGTAGGTCTAAATTAGTTTTTTTAATAAAAATTGTAATTAAACGATAACATCCTGGATGTTGACAGTAGAACAGTTGATTAGTTTCATCTTTTAATTAGATGTTTTAATAGGGAAGATACATATGTACGATTAGGTTGCAAGACTAAGGCTTTACTAATGTAAATCTAATCCTAGTCCTTAAGGATAAATGTAAAAATATCAGAGTATTGTTTTTTATACAATACTCTCAGCTATTTCGCAATAACAACGAACATGTACAAATTAAGTGAATTAAATCGGTACTTAAAGAAATTTGTTTGTTTTAAATAAAAGTTTAAACAATATAGGTACCAAAGTACCAAAAGGTTTAGAAGTACACATAATAGCTCGCAATTTATATTTTCGGACGAAAAATCATTCTATTTCATCTCGATCCTCGCGAGAAAAGAAAAAGGAGAGTGTGCTTGTTTCCGGGATTCTTATGGCTAGGGATACAACCCTGCATTTTTAAAACATAGCCATACCTCGCCTGTTACGCTGGCAACACTCAAGATGCTTTCAAGAAAATTGTGCTCTTTTAAAGTATCATATAAAAGAAACACACGCTACTATTATGTATAGGTATGTAAGCTACTGACAAAAATATTAGTGTCAGACTAAAGAATCATTTTCACGGATATCATACAAACCTCAAAAGGATATCGTAGCGCCTAACGTTGACAGTTATCCTTTGACAATTCCTGTTAAGGGTGAACTGTACAAGTAAACATAATGTTCATCATCATAATGCTTTCTTGCAAAATTGGAACACGCAGGTAAATGAATAAAAAAAATAACGCTTCAGAAACTGTTCTTACAAAATTTTTTGGTTGGTCGATCCATTATTTCAAATATTAAAACGTAATTATATGGGTTAGTATTATAGATTCTAATATCCCAAACATATATGTAGGTACGCCACTGGTACCAATCCACCTGTTCACTAATATACAGTGTACTCTCAAACAATAATCGTGCCTATCACTAGTAAGGTATTTTATTCGAAAAGAATTTTTATTTGCCAAGTATTACCAATGAATAGATTCCGTTTCTTTCCTTATCATGATGTGATATAGATCAGAGCCAAAATATATAACTTTTTGATGTAAAAAGAACAACAATTTTTCACCTCTAGTTAGATTTCAATTTAAAACAAATCGATTATAAAAACCTAAATATAAAATGTCTCGACACAGCTACCATTTCAAAGTCCCAATAAATCCCCCATGATTATGGACTATTATATCTTTCAAAAAAAACTTAAACTTAACACAGAACTTTTATTTCCTATCAATTTCCATCCACATAGAAACTCGACACTTTAGCATAAAAAAATTATAACGATAAATTTATTAATGGGGGAAACCCCCAAGCAAACTCAAAGCTGCTTATACGACAACAAAATAAAATAACGTATGCAATAAATAAATTATTTTTTAGAAGATAGGTCCCTGCTTAAGTAGCTCGGTTTTCACCCAGACGCAAGGTTAATCCTGATTTATGACGAAAGAATACGCGGCTACGGGAACCGGGAAGAAAACATGACGGAAATATAAAACGTATTGCTGTAGGATCTTCTATTATCGTAGCTGAGCTTTGCACACGCTTGACAACTACAAAAAATGCGGCAATTTTTCAACTTGCGTGCGCTTCTAAGTTTATTGCACAAGTCGAGCTGTTATAAATAATATTAACGTTATTTTTAGACTTAATACCAAACCAGAAAATACAGATTACTCCATTACGCTAATGAAAATATTTCATCTCAGCGATAAAAATTCCTGTAGGTGCATCTCAAATTTACGAACAAATTTATTAATAGCGATTAAAACATAACTAATTATATGTACAGTAGCGTTAGTTAAAATAAGAATAACATAATCTATCATACATTATTTTATAACAGTTAAATTCGTCAGTTAATGTAATGAATTACTAAAAATTGTATATTTAATTCTACCCGGCGCATCCACCAAATTATCTCACCGCTTGTTGATGTTATTTAGATCAAAATATAGAACGATTACATAAAAGAACTAATCCATCTCGTTCCAACTAATTTATATTAATATTTATAAGTAAAAATAATTAT